TTCAAAGCTCTCCAGCCAGCGCCAGCATGCCGAGTCCAGTATGCGACAAGGTGCCTCTGCAATGAGTGTCGCACAGGCAACGACCGGCGATGCCATGCTTCCAGCTAATGGCACTGCTGGCTACTCACACAGACAGTACACCTCGTACCGCGCGGAGAGCTATGGCGGTAGCGGGGCCGGCGGCCAAACGAAGGTACAGTGGCAAGAGGGGCGTTCGTTTTCGCCCGGTCTAGACTCGTCGAATCTGGCAGAAAGCCGACTAGCACAAGTTCCGTTGTCTTCGTTGGTGTCTTCCTCCACCGACGAAAGTCAAAAGGAGAGCGCGTCGAGCATTTCCGCTGCCGAGCGTTCATCATTTGGCAGTGAGCAGAGCTGCCGCACACAGATGGGCGCCGGTTTCGTTCAGAGATCCCAAGGAGACGCTTCCTTACAGTCGTCTGTCACCGGCGAAACGATTGCAGCCGACAGCAGCTGCATCAGCAGTGCCAGTAGGTCTTCCTCGGAAAGTAAAGTCTATTCACGTTCTTTCGTTGCGGATACTTCGGGAGAGTTGGGCGAACGCACAGTGCCCATCAAGATCATCCAGTCAGAAAAGGACGCCAGAGGCCTGAGTTCAGAGAGCGCTTCTAGCCTGACTGATATCTCGTGTAAAGAATTCGCCTCGTCGTATAAACAGGAGGATCAGCTGTCATCTGGCGCTACTTCCGTGGAAAGGGGGAGAACGGTGCCGATTCAGATCGAACAGGCAAGGTCGGAGAAAAGTTTCACCTCCCAAGGTGAGAGCAATAACCTGGCTCAGCGGGAAAGAATGGTGCCGATCGTCGTTGAACGAACGGCCAGCGGCAGCGAATTGCAGAACGTAACGGTTTCAGGAAACAAGTCATCGAGCAGCAGCGTGCTATACAGCCGCAGCTCGACTGCTTCTGAGGCATCTTCCAAATCACAGTCTCACTTGAAATCCCAGTCACAAGCATCGTCCACAGTTTCTGGTGTCGATGAGGAAAAAGTCATACCAGTGATACACAAGACTACAATTACAGGGTCACCGATACAGTCAGGACCGATGGAACGAGAAGTACCGATCGAACGAGGGATACCGATGGAACGCGAGATTCCAGTACACGTCGAGGCATCGACTGAAAGCGCAGAGGTGGCAGAAACTCGCTGCAAGAATGTTGTTCAAACGACGGAGGGCGTTGGTTCGAAGGCCATCGAAAGTGGCATCGAAAGTACGTTTTCGGTTTCAGTTACGGTTGCTTGTTGTGCAAAAGACTCGGCTAAAAGAAGGAGAAGAAACGAATAAATTCTGGAGCACCATGCTCTCAGACTGAAGGCCCAAGGTCCAACTGCTAGCGACTGAATATCGTTTCGGCCAGTTTGTTCAAAATAGGCAGTAGCCGCGACATATTTCATGCGTTCAACCGAGAATATGTAATGGCATAATAAGTAGCAAAATTCTGAAAAGGGTATCCTTGTTTGGCTATACTACAGTCTGGTCTTTGTAACCAATGGCAATCACTTAGAATGCGCATCTAAAACATTTCCCGTTGCACGTCGTACATCTGTCAGTTTTAACCGTTGTTGAACATTCCTTGAAATTGGTAGTAAGAAAACTTAAACTATCCAACGAACATCTGAAAGTCCACTTTTTATTCTAACTGTAGTAGAGCTTAATGCGAGCTCATATTCTAGATGCTACGAAAATGAAACAGTTTCGAAATGTTGATTTCAGTGCAAGCTGTATATACTAAAAATAAGGTTCTTTAACTTCATTGGAGAATACAAAGAAAAAATCATGGTTGGTTGCATTTTGAAAAAGTTTCATTTTTGTTCGAAGGTGTTATTGTTCAGAATATGAGACAGTATTCTTCACTCTTGTTCCCTTGCTTGTCGCGGTGAGCGGGTGCGTCGTGGTTCCGTTGCATCGCGCTGCTTATCACTTCTGTGCAACGAACGGTTCGAGTTCGAATGATTTTACCGAGAAAACTGACTCGCAGAAACTTAGCGTCACCTGCCGCATGCATATAGGCAAACCTGACGACTCACTCACACTGCAGCTGCGACATAAGCTGGACATTTGGGGCTCTCAGAGACCCACTTACTACGCCAAGGACGTTACCGACTTGACGATGGATAGCAGTTGTATTTCTTGTCTGGCACCCAGTACTCTCTGCGAGTTGCAGTTCTGTTGTCCCATTGAGCGGGGAACCCTTTTTTATCCGTCTAATTCATGACCGTGGTATCGTTGTCCAATTCGCAACGAGGCACGTTTGGATGACTTTAGTCGCCGCGTATTCTTTGTCATTTTGCGGAGGACCCGAAGGAGGACCAGTTCTATGCCTGCTTTCAAATGATTCTTAGTTCTTTACCGCTACATGAATCATCGATGGTCGCCGATGACCTCAACGTCCAGATCGGCGCCGACGATCACAGCTGGCCCCGCGTGCTAGGTCAAAATGACAATGACAGCGGTGTTGCCGATACCAGCGGCCCGACGCCATACCTTTACGCTACGCACGCTGGGACGCTGTTTCCGCGTCATCAAATTCATCAGCAGATGTGAACGGCGCCAGGAGGTCACTGCAGAAGCCAAATCGATAGCGTGCTGATCAGCTGCAAATGGCGAGGTAGAAAACGTGTGGACATCGGAAGTAACCGTTTTCTACTTGTCGCGAAGTGCCTTTGTCTGGCAACAACTGGAGGAACAATCTGCAGAGAGAAAAAGGCCTGTTTGGTACAGGGAATTTGAAGGATCCCGGCACTCGCGAGGCGTTCCAGATGGAAATCAGCAGCGCAGCAAATTCGTTTTTATGCACGACGTTACCATCCCTCAAAACTCACAGCTGTTCTACTACCGCCTTAAAGAAGGCATTGTCGACGCCGCTGACAAAGCTATAGGCTTCAGCAGCAGGAAGACGAAGCAGCCTTGAGACATGACGGAAAATTTAATTCTTCGCCAGGAAAGAAATACGGCAAAGCAAGCGTTATTACATGACTATGACGAGACGAAGAAAATGAAGTGTCATTTTCTCGTGCAAGCGATCAACAGAATCTACTCCAAGGACAGACAACGTTAGCCGGACCTCGAAGCACTGAAGTTAGAAATGCCAGCGGCGAAAACCGACTGCGCTGTTGAAGATGCTGTACAGCCGGACGAATACAATCGCCCAAGGTAGCAATAAAACATACCACTGGCTTGTTATGCAGCACATCGAATGTGCCACTGCAAGAACTTGAGAGTTGTCGTAGACGATGAGCCGGACACTTCACAAAGCTATTCAGTAAGCATTAATTCTCCGGCAAATCTGCAAATGGAAGAGGAAGTTGGAAAAGATCTGGATACTTTCTGTACCTCACCATCGATCGAAAAAATCCGACAGGCGATGTGACTCTGCCGAAGCTCGAAGTTCGGTGGGCACGACGGGATTGGGGCGGAAATTTTGCAGTGCAAAGGTGAAAACCATCTCCACTGGATCCATCTAGCTTTTTACTTCATGTGACAAGGATCGATGATGATGATCCCTGTAATAATGGCGTGATAATCTCGATTTTCAAGGGTGGGAGGCGCGCTGACTCTATCATCTATCAAGTAATCACCCTCCTGCCGGTGTTCGAGATGGTCTTCGCACAAATCATTCTTGAACGACTAAAGGAGTCCATAGTCCATCATCCGCTCGCTGCGAACTAACCAATGAGGCTTCCAAGGTTGTAACACATTCATGGATATGTCTGTATTGAAGAGAATCATCGAGCGGTGCCGAAGATTCCAACTTCTAGCGACTGGCACGCGAAGTCTCTGAACTTCTAGACAGCCTTCGAATCAGTTC